CTATTTCATCATCTTGTCGCTGAAGCCTTTCCTCCAAACGGACCAATGTTGACTGTTGTTGAACACTTATACGGTAGCATATGTTACGACTAGGAATGTCTTCCCATAAGTCCGTTGGATTCACACCGTCACTAAACAAGTGAACATGACCATGTTTGTCTTGCCCAACCACCTGAGCAAATATATCATCGTGACCAACTGGATCTTGCGAATCCGATGGAAGCTGATTTTTCAGCTCAGTCATTTTTTCCTACATAATAAAGGAAAACACTTGTTATTGCAAAAGACTGTCTGAAAACATCCATGGTAGAATTGATAGGCTTGTGTTCTCGAATCCTTACCAAATTCTCAGCAACTATGGTACTTGATGGAGTTCCATCGGCATGGATATAAAACTTATTGAACATTTCTACTCTAGTAGGAGGTCTTCCCAACTGTTTGGCCTATAAGAAATTGAATCGTTTTAATTATAGTTTTAGCATTTAGCATATAATTAAAAAACAAGCTAACATAATGAAACATGTACGAGCAAAAAAAATTAGCAACTAAAAAGTTGATGAGGTATCACCAAGTGGTTCCGAAGATGAGCAAATGACTTTTTTCCGGTTGTGTGGTTCATCTTCTTCTCCCCTCTAGCTTTCTTGTTCCTCTCACTTAGTTTCTAAATTTCAAAATCAAAAGCAAGATTACAGCATTGAATAAACACAACTTTATGAAGAATGTTGTAGCTGATTTGTACCTTTGCTTCTTCACTTTTCCAATAAGCCCAAAGTTTGATCCATTGCTCTTCCCGTACCCTTATGTCCTTGTGAAACTGAGTTTCAGCATTTGGCACAGCAGGATCAAAATAGTTAGCCTTTAAATCTGCCTTCCAGCTTCTCCATTTTTTGCCAATAGATCTTAAGGTCCAAGCTTCCAGTCCCATAGGCAAAGCAAATCTTTCCTGAAACATAGTTAGCAACAAGAAAATCAACACAACTTCACAGTAATTTTTGTACAAAGCATACATAATACAAAAGCTACCATTACCTTTATCACTTCTAACATGTCCATTTTAAGTTTCCTTGGCATCTTAAGCCATGTTTCAACATCTATTGGACAATACATACCATTCCTAGCCAAACTGCCCAAGAATTCAGAGAAAGAGGTTTTCTCACTTATTGGGATCCCATTGTCATCGAGTTTAATCTCAATCTGTGGAAGTTCCTTGGGCCGACCCCAAATTTCTTTCATAAATGTAGGGCCTCGAGTTTTCTGATGTACTTCACTTGAATCATTTGTAGTTTCTTTTCCTGTATAAAATAAGAAAAAGGTGCAAGTTATGAACATAACAAAATGCACTTCTGGAATTGGTTGAAAACAGTTAGTAATACCTGCATTGTCCGAGTTGCATGACATGAAGGTGGTGTCACTGGAATGTGGACCTCGAGAATCCTGATTTGGACTTTCTTCAGTTGCTTCATGCCTTGTTCCAAGTGGAGATTGTTGAATTGGAGAGTTCTGGCACTGCTCATGCGACTTGGAACCTCTATCAGCTTGTTGAGTAACTTGGTCACCTGATTCATGCATTATTCCCAATGTAGAATTCTGAATTGCAGATTGAGGTGCCCAAGCAGCTTCTCCTTGCACTTGTTCAATTACATTTTCATGGCTTGTTCCAAGTGGAGGCTGCTGCCTTGTTTCATGACATGAGGGAGGTTGCTCAATTGGTTCATCTCTCAATCCATTTGCAGCGTGCTTACATTTTCAACCTCTACGGGCCATACCTGCATAATATTTGAGTGAAGAAAGGGACAAATGTAAATGTTTAAAATTTATTGAAGCAAACACTCTACCTATAATTTCTTTAACTTACAAATGCTATTATAAAGAAATACTACTTGAACAATAAACTGGCATGACAAGTAACAAATGGCATTCTTCAAGAATAAACCAGGGGAAGACTATGGAGCTGTCAACAGAACAGAGAAACAAATGGAGAATATACAATTCAATGTAGCAACTAATTGGAAATGAAATGAAAGCTACATGTTTAAGTGACTGCAAGAATATACATGGGAAATGCTTTGATCTACATCCTTTCAGCATGAAAGATATGCAGAATTTACTACCGCTTGACATGAAACTTTTTCCATATTGTTTTGAGAATGATGCCTATGATCAAAAGTTGGTATGCTTATGCTCAATGAGGGCGCAAGTAGAAGAGTCCACGTAATTTTAACTTCAATAATGGAGCAAACTAATAAATGATTGTCTTGAATTAACGAAATATACTTGGCCATGTGATAACCAAAAATTGCAGAGGATAATGTATTCTACCAGCAAATACAACTCTTGGTTTTGTATGTTTAGGGATGGCAATCGGGTCGGTTATGAAGCTCTACTGAATACTTTTATTTCCAGATTCTGACATGGTTCTGCATTTATCAAAAACACTAATTCTATTGTTCTAAGATAGTGTCTCATCTAAACAAGAGCTCAAGCTTTACGTAGCATTGACGATTCCAAACCAAATTACTTCTCTTTTTGCCAGAGCCACATCCACAGTTAAGGGTTGACACTTAATAGTAAATGCACAAACACTTTATCCAATACAATTGTAACAGTATAAACAATACAGTCGTAGAACAGGAAGGAGGCGAAGAGCATCACGGTGAAAGACTAAAAACGAGAACCCATCACCAAAAATAGATGGTTGAAATTGTATATTCAGTTCACAGTAGCAGTCTCCATTCGACCAGGCTCACCTTGAAATGTGCTTCTCAGAAACGTGTTTTTCACACCGCCACCACCCCCAAAGCTTTTCACACCACCACCACCCCCCAAAGCAAACACTCTAGCTAGAAATGTGCTTCTCAGAAACGGAGAAAGTGCTTGTCAGAGATGGGAATCGAATAGCCTAAAAACTAAGTCTACCATGCAATGCAAGAACATGTCTACCATGCAATGCAAACTTAGACACGAAATACTGAAATTACCTCAAACTATGGCTTGAATCCCTAACTTCTCGGTTTCCCCAAGCTTCAAGATCTGAACTCCACCCACCACCCAAGCTTTGAAGCCCTAATTTCTGATTTCTTGCCACCAAGCCAACACAATAGCTGAATTAGGGATTTGCCTGGTGCGAGCTCAACCAAGTTACCCAAATGGGTGCGAGTTCATGGACGGCAATTGACTCAAATTGGTGGTGCGAGCTTGAAAGAGAGAGAGAGCACAAAGGCAGAGGACAACGAGAGAGGGAGAAGATGTCTGAAATAAAAGCGGTACTAATGACGCCAAAGTAAATTAGTCAAGCCTCTTGAATTTTTCAATTTGCCGCGCTACTAATCACAATTTTTGTGTGTTTGGGCAAAATTTTGTTAAAGCTATATAACAACTAAAATTTTGGTTAAAGCTATATACAATATAATATAACAACTAAAAATATAAAGGCTAAAAATCTTGTTAAAGCTATATACAATATAATATAACAATTAAAAATTTTGTTAAAACTATATAACAACTAAAAATATAACAAATAAAAATTTTGCAAGAGCTATATACAATATAATATAACAATCAAAAATTTTGTTACAGCTATATAACAACTAAAAATATAACAGATAAAAAATTTGTTAGAGCTATATACAATGTAATATAACAACTAAAAATATAAAAATAATTAAAAATTTTGAGAAGCTAACAAAAAACATTCTTTTAATCAAAATGTTTTCGGTTACTCAATTTATTTTATGCTGCTAGCAATTATGTACGGTTTGTAGTCTAACAAGCCATTGGAAGGATCGAATTAGTTTATGAAACAAGAAAATTAACTTATGAATACATGAACTTTCCATTGATAAACATTGGGATTAGAATTGATTGAACATTTATATATATATGTATATATATATATATATATATATTCAATGTTTTCAATTCCAAAGCAATTGCCATTGAACTTTGTGTTAATTAGAATCTTACTATCACTTACAAGATCTTACTATTGAACTTGGCAATGATTAACCTTATGCTTACACTTACAACGCATTGATTGAACATAAACATATATATATTGAATGCTTTCAATTTCAAAGCAATTGCCATTGAACTTTGTGTTAATTAGAATCTTACTATCACTTACAAGATCTTAATATTGAACTTTTCAATGATTAACCTTAGGCTTACACTTACAACACATTGATGAGCATAAACATATAGTATGATCGGTTTGATCGATTCGATCGTGCTTGATCGGTTCGATCATGTCTCCGGTCACTTTGAAGGATAATCTAAAATTGCGACTAAACCGATTAAATTCGATCAAAGATCAGTTGGACTAGAAAACTCTATCGGAATTAACTTTTTGTATTGTTATTGGTTTAAAAAATAATTTTTTCATGGTATTAAAAAATTATTTAAGAAATTTCTATTGATAAAAAATTAGACCTCAGGTTATTGGGAAAAAGAATTGGCCATAATATAATGATTCACAAATGTAATATTACAGCTTACAATTAATGAAATTGCTTATAAAATAATGACCAGTATTTATCCAGCCCATTGGGCTCTTAAAATGAGTAATGGGTTCCTTGGAAAGTTGGATAGTTTTATGTTTGGTCTGAAATGATTTGCACATTCCGTACGTTGCCAATTGTTCTCCCCAAATCATAGCCTTGGTTGCCAATTGTTCCCATGCCATTAAAAGAAAAATCATTCCAATACCATTTTTATGAATAAGACTCACGATTACTAACCAAGACTAGAAATCCAAAAACTGGACCATGGGAGTATCAATGAAGAAAGGCCTTAAAGAGGCAAATTAATACACAAGTTTTAACTAATAGCACCAAGTCTTTTATCACATCTGTCAGAAGGCAAAACCCATCGACAAAATGTCGGTCATATTAATAAAATACAAAAAAAAATGCAAAACCCATCGACAAAAGGAAATAAAGCCTAGGCCTAGCAATTGAAACAGAGAAGAATAGGGCCAGTAAGCCTTAAAGCTATAAAAGATTCTAAATCAGATTATATTGGGACAAATCAACTTCAATCCCAAGTCCATTCTCACGAACCCAACTAATTTCCTCATTTTCATTCTCAACAAAAGGATTGCCAACATCACTTTGCAAATATGTCTCAACATCCATGGTTGTGCCCATGTTATATCCAGCTCTTGCAGTGGTAGAGATAACCACTTGCCAATCCTTATCAGTTGGATCTTCCACATAAAAAACCTGTGATGCTTGTGAAGCGAGTATAAATGGCTCAACATGAGGCCTCACGTCTGCAAAATTGACTAAAGTAAACCCATTAGCATCTGGTTTCATTCTCGAACCATTTGATATCCAATCACATTCGAATAACACCACCCGATGACCTCCGTAAATTAATTCAATCATATTTTTCAAGACGCCGAAGTAAACTAGTTCACTCAAAACTGGATTTTGATCCCTTATACTTGCAAAACTGGATGTTGTTGCATTGACTGTAACACCACTATTCTGCGTTTTTCTTTTCTTCTCAACTTCTTTGGTGTGAAACCGAAATCCATTAACAACATACCTGTCATGTTGGATTCCAACAACATCTGGACCTTTAGCAAGGAACCTCAACTCTCTCAACACCGAAATATTTTGAGAAAGTTCTAACCAGTGTTTGAAAACCGGACCGGACCGGCCGGTTTGACCGGTTGGACCGCGAACCGGCCATGGCTCCAGTCCGGTTCAATGCCAGGTTTGACTTTGTCAAGAAACCGGTCAAAAACCGGTTGGACCGCGAAACCGCTGAACCGGCTTTGAACCGGTTATTTCCGGTTTTTGAGTTTTCCACTTTTTTTTTTTTTTTTTTTTTTTTGCAAAATGTAGTTACCAAGATTCGAGCTCAAGACCTTTGTAATAGAAGACCAATGTAGTAACCGTTGCACTATCACATCTTGTTAGTTTTTTTTGATAACTTATTTATATAAAACAAACACTCATATTTCTTTTGTTCCATTTTTTTTACAAAATATCATCCTTTCATGACTCTTTTTTTTTAATCATCAATACACACACACACACACACTCTCTCTCTCTCTATCATCTTTTCTTTTGCCACTTATTTTTAATCAAATCTCTTTATTTTTAATTTATTGATGTTTTCTTCCATATTTTAATTTTGTTTTTGTCCATTAAATTTAAAAAAGTTAAAAAAGAATTATTTTTCTTTAACCCAATTTATTTAATACCACAACCACTCACTTTTATCTCATTTTTTGTTTCTTATCAAATTTGCATTTCTATTTTCAATTCTCTTGATTTTCTTAGAACTCCAAACTTCCTTTTTTAAATTGTAAATTTAAATTCCAAAATGTAAATTAAAATTTAAGTTCACAATGTCTAAATTCTCATAGACGTGAATTTTGTATAATTTCAAATATTGTGATATTTTTGGATTATATTTAAGATTTTTTTGGTAGATGTAATTGAAATTGAGATAAAATTTATTTGTTTTAACTTATAATTTAAAAATTTTATTTTTAAAAATCCAAGTTATTCAAAAATAGTAAACTTTTCATCATATAAAGTATTAAATTATCCATTACATGTCTTATTTTGTGCACATATATATTTATATAAATTATTTTTTAAAAAATTTATTGAACCGAGGTTGAACCGGTCCGACCGGTTGAACCTCGACCCTTTCACTTCACCGGTTCGATTAACGGTCCGGTTTTTAAAACATTGGTTCTAACTTGTCAATCTGTAAAAAAAAAAAAAAAAGATGAAACTATATTTGAAGTCTTACAATTCAAATTGTACTTAATATTCAAAATTTTACTTACATGTTCAGCAAACCAACATGCAAAATTTTCGCTGTGCAAGCGCTCTTTTAGATGCTGTGGAACTTGAGGATGTCCTTCTTCTATCAATCTACGATGCTGCCTAGAAGTACATGAGCCAAAATTGTAATTATACATTGAATTCTACAATAAAATTTTAATGCATCAAGTTGTGGTTGAACTTACTCTATATAAGGTGTGACAGCATCACAGTTAAATAAAATATACTGATGTGCTTTACTCAAGATATGAGCATCAAAGACTGTTGGCTTGCCTCTCCCCAAAGGATGTCTTGATTCAGAGAATATATCTAAACCATCTTCAATTTCCTTATGTACTTCTTCATTTCTGCTTGGACGATTGAATTTTGTCTCAACATAGTCCGCAAGATACAATGAGCAAAAGTTAATGCATTCTTCTGCTAAGTAGCCTTGAGCAATCGAACCTTCAGGCCTACTTTTATTTTGAACATAAGATTTTAATGTTCCTAAGTACCTAAAGTATCATCATTCCAAACTCTCTAATTAGTTCCACAAATCGAAGAAAGCAAAAAAAGGAATAAACAGTTAAGGCATAATGAGAATTACAAGCAGTACCTCTCTACAGGATACATCCAACGATAATACACCGGCCCACCTAATTTCACTTCAGTTGCCAAATGAACAACTAAATGCACCATGACATCGAAGAAGGTTGGTAGGAAGCATTTCTCAAGATCGCAGAGTATGACAGCAATTTCACTTTCCAAACGAACCACATCTTGATGACAAATAACTTTAGAACAAAGCTGCCTGAAGTATCTACTCAATCGAATCAAAGGATAGCGCACTGATTTTGGCAAAGTCTTTCTCAAAGCTATAGGCATCAATTGCTGCATTAGGATATGATTATCATGACTTTTAAGCCCTGAAATTCTTGGTGGTTTTACTCGAACGCATCTTGAGACGTTAGCTGCATAACCATCTGGAACTTTCACCTTTTTTAGCACATTGCAAAACATAGTTTTTTGTTTTTTATCCATTGCAAAGGAAGATGGAGGTAAGTACACCTTTCCAGGTTCTGTCTGCAGCTCTTTTCTTATTCCCATTTCTCTCAAATCACGGCGGGAATTATAATGGTCCTTTGTTTTATCCTCGGTGTCCAGCAATGTCCCCCAAATGTTTTCACAAATATTCTTCTCAATGTGCATGAAGTCAAGATTGTGTCTTAAGACATTATCTTTCCAATATAGCAAGTCAAAGAAAATACTCATCTTTTTCCAATTGAAAGGTAGCTTCGGATTACCTTTCACATGTTTTCCAAATCTAATTTGCAAGTCTCCCAATTCACTCACAATCATATCCCCGGTTTGCAAAGGTGGTCGCTTTCCATGTTCTTCGGTGCCATCAAAGAATTGGGTTTGCTTTCTAAATTTATGCTTACTATCTAAGAATCTCCGATGACCCATGTAGCAATATTTGAAACTATGAGTCAACCGTCGTGCATGAGTGAACTTGTGACAAATAGGACAAGTATATTCACCTTTAGTGCTCCACCCAGATAACATTGCATATCCAGGGAAATCACTAATGGTCCACAACAAAGCCGTATACAGTTGAAAATTTTCTTTTTGGGATGCATCATAAGTTTGAATGCCAAAATCCCACAATTCGGTCAGTTCTTTAACTAGAGGCTGTAGATAAACATCAATATTATTCCCAGGAGAGGATAGTCCGGGTATTAACAAAGACAACATGAAATACGATTGCTTCATACACATCCACGGAGGTAAGTTATATGGTATTAAAACTACAGGCTAAGTACTGTGTGTAGAACTCATGTTGTTGAATGGATTAAACCCGTCAGATGCCAACCCCAATCTAACATTTCGACAATCCTTAGCAAATTCTGGATGTAGATGGTCAAAAGTTTGCCAAGCTGGAGAATCACCTGGATGTCTCATACAACCATCTTTTGTACGTTTTTCCTCATGCCATCTCATTTGAGATGCAATTTTAGAAGACATAAATAGTCTTTGTAATCTAGGTTTTAAGGGAAAATGCCACAACACTTTTTGAGGAATTTTTCTTTTTTCCCCAGTTGGATCATTTTCTGAAGCAACCCATCTAAGCTCGTTACATGTTTCGCATGAAGTTCTTTTTTCAGCACTACCCCAATAAAGAGAACAATCATTAGGACATGCATCGATCTTTTCATAACCCAACCCCAATGTATTCATCAATTTCTTAGCCTCATAGTAAGAAGACAGCAAATTAGTCATGGCCTCCGGAAATGCTTCTCTCAACAGCTCAATAAGCATATTAAAAATCTTGTTACTCATCTTACCCAGGCATTTTAGGTGAAGCAAACGAATAATAAAAGACAATTTCGAGAAATTTTTGCAACCACTGTACAAATCCTGTTGAGAATCATCAATCAATTTGTAAAATTTTTCAGCCTCTGAAACAGGAATGTCCCCTTCTCTATTCAATTCATTTGTTCCATGTGGTATCCCAAATACATCATGGACCAAGTCTTGCATGTTATTAGTCCCATTTGAAACCCCAATTGATGTATTTTCAGAATTAGATGTGGCTTCATTGTGGTTTGAAAGTTCTCCATGTGCTATCCAATTATTATAACCCTTGATAAATCCTACCACTTTCAAATGATCATATGCTTCCATTTTTGTCACACAAACACCCATGCTGCAATCTTTGCAAGGACACAAAATCTTTCCGTCACAACTTGATCTAGAAAATGCGAAGTTTAGAAACATTTGAAGTCCTGTCTCGTACTTTTCACTTGTTCTTGGAAAATCCATCCATCTTTTATCCATACTTTAAATATAAATAAATGTCCTCCAACGAGCTTCCGATAGCCTACTTTTTAAACTCAGGTCGTGGCTTACAAGTCCCTAATTTCAAGTTCAAGAATTTACAGTCTACTAAATCAAGCAGCCAACAAACAAAGGAAATCAACAAAATGCAAAATTTCTCAACAATCTATAAAAACAAAATTTGCAAGTAAGCGAATAGAAATTTTATTTACCTAATAATAGAAAAAAACCCTTCGTACCAACTCCTGCGCCCACGTCTTCGCAAAATTCCTAAATTCAATCTGAAATGTCAATGGTTAAACAAACACATGAGCGTGAAAACTAAAGGTGAAATTCAAGAATTTTACTAAATTTCCATCAAAGTATACATACATCTTTGGTGTGTAGTGATTAATTTTATAAGTCATCTCTTTAGAAAAGCATGCAATTGACGGCATAGGTAATTGGAAAAAAGAATGACAGAAAAGTCCCCTAGCTTCTAATCATGCCTATGAAGATCCTTATGAACATGTCAAAATACTTTGACCCAACTGCATCAATGTCTCTGTCTTATTAATCTAAAAGTCCCTTTTTTTGGGCTCAAAATTTGCACTATAATAGACTGATCAAGTGCAGAAGACACTTAGTACAAGCGTTATACTATATATTTCAAGCAACTCACGTACTGATTAGACATACAATTTAAAACAGAAAAATGCTGTAAAGATGCAAGTACTATATAGAATTTAACATAGAAAAAAGCAATAGTGATATAAGTGATACCATTGGGTGAAATATGCACTTAGACGGATGACCACCTTTGTGGCAAAAGCCAAAAGGCAGCAAAGGTTACCTTTGTTATGCAAATTTTGTGCCTCACATTGGCGGTCCATTATCTGCATCTTAATTGTCTTTGGGCTTACATAGTCACGGTTTCCCAATTCTGTCACCAGAATAATTTCCTGCTAGGCATATATAGACCATGGTCCTTGTTTCATTTATTTATATCGAACTTGTTGCTGAGTGTTCATAATTACGATAAGCAATGCAATTTGGTTGAAACTCTCTATTCACAGTTTTGCTTAACTGTCCCCATCCCCAAACAAAACTAGCTGCCTAAACAAACTTCAATTACAGCTAGGTTTCATAGAAAAAAATGAAAAACAAGGGGGAATTGACTTTTTATAGAACAGGTTTTGGGCAACATACTAATCACCCATTGACACTTTATTAGCTAGCCTATGTACAATTATGGCATGGCAATAGAAAAAATGTAACATGGACATAAAGATCGATCTCCTAAAAAAATACGCAATCCAATTGAACAAATTTCCTCAAGTTTTCATCTCCATTGCAGCAAAAGAAAAAGCATCCAACACCGAGTTGCTATTAATGCTACAATTAGATAGATATCATATTTAAATCTTTCAATAATCTTAAATGAGGACAATATAACTCAACTAGCGACAGCTCAGGCCAAGAATCTTTACTTCTCAGAAAAAAATTTCCAAGTTGCAGGACAATACAATTTCCTCCTTTTAATTCTGATTACCTTAATTTCCAAGTTGCAGGTAATTTCTTGACAACGAAATCAAACATAAGAGCTTCATTGTGTTTACCACTTCGATTTTGGAACAACATTTGCATGCCTGAAGTATCTTCCAGCTTTCCCAATGTACAGCTCCGATCTTCTAATTTTACTCCTTGTCTGCCCTTCCAGATGTCTTAGCCGAAGGATTTAAAGTTGAGGTTAGAAAAGATGAAGATGGTTGTTTGCGGAGATAGCTTGACCAACATTCTGGATTGGCTGAGATAGATTGTATGCGGAGAGGTGAGAGAGATGAGAAGAAGAAATTTTCACCAAGTCCTTTTGCCAGCAAAATGAAACTTCATAGTACTTTACCAAGTGTCTGGATCCAAATTAAAACGATGTCGTTTTCTGACTTTTTTTTCCTCACATTTTTCCAAGTGTCATGATAGGTAGTCTAAAGGCACATTATTATTTTATATCATGATAAAATAAAAAAATTATAGTACATATTATTGAGTTGGTTAATAAGTGTCATGATACGTTTGGTATAACGACACAAACCAACAAGTGTCCTTATAGACATGTCAGGAAAGGCCATTTTTGTTGTAGTGTATGCATCTTTGCATTGCTTGAAACAACTATTCTTAAGCTGGAGGATTTAATTTGGGAACGAATTGCAATAGATCGGAAGAATGAAAGAGCCAAGTGTCACCTTGTTACTTTTATTCTTGGTGTTGTGTCTGTAAGCTTAATGCATTCACATAAACAATGCAGAACGATTAAGTAAACAGCAAGCTATAAGTACACCGAAGGATTGCCCTTAAGTAACTGCTTCTTTTTGGTTGTGTAGCCTGAGATCCTCATGATGCTATATCTTGGCAATCAAATAGTGACAATTTTATGCTGGTACAAACTTTTTAATAAACCATAGTATGGAGTACCGAATAGTTCCTTCGGATAGCTTGGGTGATTATCTTTGCAGCTTTTTGCATAACATGTACACGTCTCTATTTGCTCAGGCACATGCTTTATTTTAGGCATGTGTAATAGTATCAGACATGTTACTTTCAAAAATGTATACGGCATTGATATTGGTCATCTTGTTTCTATTGTGGATATAGTTAGTTTTCATCAGACATTTTATACTGTAAAGATCGATCATTGTCGTTGTGATCTGAAAAGCTGACAAGTAGAAAGTCTTATTTATTAATTGATTAAAATAGGAAAGCACTGAAGGAATGGTTATCAATAAGATTCATATACTCCAGCACAATGTAATCTTCATGAGACAGTCCAATTGTAGTAGTAATGAAGTGATAAATTTGAACTTAGTATATGGTTTCAATTTCTGATCAAGAATTTTGGGAAGATGCCTACGAGAAAAAGGAAAGAGAGAGAAGATCATCCATTGTTGGAAAATAGGAGGTGAATTTTGGATGTATTACATGTCCTAATCTAACTCACCAATGCATGCTCTTGAATTTCATATAGGGTTAATTATGTCTGCCTCAGCATTTTGGCCCAACAACCATTCTACCCGTTGAATTTGAAAATCTACACTCAATTGTTATTACTAAAGAATCTCCAAACCATGTTAAATCTTAGCTTTTAATGGCCAAGATACCTGCTGTTCAAATTGATATTCAACTGATTACTTCCTAAACTATTATAGATCGTCTTAGAAACAAGATACTTCTTTCTAGCCCATCAAGATGTTTCAAAAGGTGGATATATCTCATCTACCTCATCCTCCAAAACTTCTCCGACTTAAAGTTCTCCCTCATGCTACCACTGCCCAGTTACTGCCTCCTCGTTCCCATCCACCACCATTCTACCTCCTAGTTGCCACCCATCTCCCCAAGTCATCATCTTTGGCTCTCAAACTCACTAATTTTTTTTCTTCCCACATACCAGCTGTTTGAAATTTAACCCTTCCAATGTTGCCCCTCGTCCTTACCATAACCCCATTGCTCCTGAACGCCTCCCACAGCTCCAGCTTCACACACCAATTGCCCCTTGCCCCTCTCCTACTGTGTCCACCCACAGCAAAATTGTGTTGCAAACTCCCATCTCTGCTTGCTGTTCATTGCTTTTCTTTTCTGTACCTTTCTGTTGGTTTTGGTGGTTGGATGCCAGGTTGAAGGGGCTATCGACAATGACATCAGAAGTTAGCAAGGACTTTGGGGTTAAAAAGAAAGAAATTAGGGGCTACTGGTCCTGTTCATTTCTTTGGTTTTACTATATGCATCTTTAGCAAGAAAAAGGGGTTCTTTTAGGACAGTTTGCATCGTGTCATTTCTTAATAAAACATGGTAACTTTGACCATTAGGACGCCATGTAATTTTTGTTATTTGACCTTAAGTCGGTTCTTTGGTAATTTTTCAAAATTCTGCTGTTGGAAGGCAGTTTGGCCAAAATAGATGGCAATGGA